GGATCGGCCTGGTTGTGCTGGTATGAATAGTTCCAATAAAAATATAAAAATTAGCAGCTCCAACAATCAGCAAAAGCAAGTGTGCATTAAGGTTTACGGAAAACCTAAAAATAAAAACTAGCATATTAGCTCAATGCGTTGCTATTCCGTTAAGACATGGATTGGTATTTGACTGATATGAAACTGTGATTGAACTTTTATTTACTGCATGTCTTACATTAGCATCACAAAGCTAGCGCAATACTACACTTACTTTGTTTCGCATTTTCCGGTTGTTTCGATGTCCCCTGTGCGCTTGGTACACCCGTCTGGTCCGTGTCCTTTAAACACTCCAGAGATCCTCCACACGAAAGGCAAAACCGTGTCACTTGTCCCAGGTTGTTTCCACAAAATGGACAAAACATGTTTACTGAACGTAAACACACCATAGACTGTATATGAAACACACTCGCACCTTCGGTCTTTCCGCCAAAACAAATTTAAATTTGAGCCAATCACGTCACGTCACGTCCTATGGTCACGTCACGTCACGTCACTTCCGGTATGATGTACATTCCCTTTCTGGTTTGATTCTGGTTTGTAAATGTGTTTCGGGAAATGTTAATGTGTGTCGGGAAATGTTAAAGTGTTTCGGGAAATGTTAAATTGTTTTGCATTTTGTTAATTTGTTTTTGTTAATGTTAAATTGTTTTATCCTTGGTAAAAGTGTTTTTGCTAATGTAATTTTGTTTTATAAAATGTAAATTTGTCTCAAGCTTTGTTAAAGTGTTTCACACTTTGTAATTGTCCATTGCACTTCCCAGCCACCGTACATACGGCACCAACTCTGTCGTCCAGTAATCTAAGCGCCTTCTGGAAAAGCTTCACAAATCCGTCGGTACACAAGTGACGTTACGCATTTCAGATGTTTGCCGCGCATGCGAACCTGCGTACCAGTTATGTGCACCCCTGCTTGACAATAAAGCCTTGTTTACGTTTTTAAAACCTAGATTTTAGTTGTTCTCTTTTAGTCTTAATGCAAACAGAGAGCTTTGGTTCACACTCCAGTTAAGTAGGCGGCGGTATTGTACCGATTACCGAACACAAGAATTGCCATACGTCATTAAACAAAAAGAAGAAGAAGAAGAAGCGGCTGCTTGTCTCACAAAAAATAGTCGTAGAAGAAGAAGAACACAAACAATGAGCTAAGCTAGCGGTTCTCCGGTGAGGACAATATTACTGTTTTACTGTGGCCAATTTAACAACTACCCTTACCTGTTAATTATTGCAAGTCATTCATAGCCAAACAACAACTGATGTTTGTTATGCTTTGTATGCTAGCTGAAGCAGCTAACTGCAGCCATGTTTTGTTGCTGTCATTGAGTAACTTTAGCAAACAAGGCTAAAGCTTTAACCTTAACCTCCCCTCTGACCCTAATATTTTTTAGTTTGATAAGTAAGCTAACTTTTATTGGCCTTAAGTTGTATACGTTACATTTTCATTTCATTTTTATATGCTTTGGTAATGTCTTTATAAGTTGCTAACAGTCTGATATTCCTCTTCAAAGTTGCTCTCTGATTGGGATCAATGTACACCACGTGAAAGCTACTGTGATGTGAGATCTGCCATGGACTGTCTGCAGAGAAGAGCTCGTGAGGATTTAATGCACATCTGTTGACACGCGGTCAGTCAGTGATGGCTGTCAACTCCCTGCTGAGATGCTCCATCAGGTAACCCACGCTGCTGTGACGTGTGCAATGCATGGTGTATGCTAGAGCTGTGTCAGCTTCAGCCTCACATGTGTTGTGTGACATGTAAGCCTCACATGTCACAACACATTTGGTGATCTCAAGGTGATGATTCTAGATAATAGTCAAGCCAGGATCAAGGAATGTCTGTATACAATTTTAACAAGTGCATTAAAATGTTTGAAAGACTGAATGTTCCCCTTTTCAATGACATAATGCAACCATATATTGTGTACACAAAACATTACTACAAACTGTATTAAACACTAATGATTAGAGTTTATTTATTGTAAGTCATTTATCAAATACAAATGCCAAACAGTTGTGTACATCCTCTGTAGCCAATGATCCAGCTTTCATCTCTAACTATTTCAACTGAAAACACGGAGGCTTGAAAACTGTTGTTGAGACAAAAATACAATTGAGTGATTGCACATTGGCCTCTTCGTTTGCAATAAGTATTTTTTGTTTTTATGGGGTAAACAATTGGTAGAAGAACAACCGATAATTTGATCAACAATCAAAAATAATCTATATGTAAAACTGTGTGACAATATACTTCCATATTATTATAAAACGAGTCACCTTCCTGTGTTTTTGAGCAGGCTGCAGAGGAAGCGTGTAGCCACACATTTAGCCCAGCAGAGAGCGCTGTCGGGGGCAGAAGCTGTCACTGCTCTCAGACCCTTTTACTTTGCAGTCCATCCTGACTTCTTTGGTCAACACCCCGTGGAACGGGTAGGTGTCTAGTATATTATCACGTGTTTAAATGTTTTGTTGAAAAGATAACAACGCTAAAATCGTTGAACTGAGCCTATAAACGACTTGTTCTGAGGGGTTTGGTGTGTATTTATCACATAGTGGATGTTTTTTGGTGATGTTGGACGGAACACAAGACCAATCATCATCATCATGTAAAGAGGGGATTCCCCACACTGTGTAACACTGAGTGGTGTGTTTTACAGGAAGTCAATGAGACTTCATTGAAGAGGCTGAATAGCTATCTGGACCACCTGCAGAAGCCCGGCTCACACTCAGTCCGGCCAATGAAGCTCAGTTTTTATGTCAGGGACACGAAGGACAGCAGCGATGTGCAGCCGGACCTCCTGGCCTCAGGTACACTTTCATGAATACCACTCATAGTATTTAATCTATCTTTACAGATGTTTCACCTTCCGCCTGTCCTCAGGGTTCCGCTCAGTGAGCTTCACCCTGCACACATACGATGTCCTGAGCACGGTGTGGAACGTGTTGAAGTCCTGCAGCCTGCCCACTGAGCACATGAAGGATCTCAAAACAAGTGTAGAGACATCTAAGAGACCACCTGAGGGGGGGGGGGCTTTCTACAGACCTATTCGATGGCATAAGAGCTACTACAGCTTCACTGGATTCAAAGACCCTGAGCAGGAGCTGCAGCAGGCCAGGAGGGTGGAGCCCACTCTCATGTTAGTAACATTGAACGCACAGTACATAACAAAGAATTCACTACTTTTTTGATACAAACCAACATATGATAGAGTTCAGTCCAAACTGTTGTTTTACGCATTTTTTTTACCTATAGTTCAAACAAACATGGTACATGTCAATAAGCATAAGTATGTGTTTTTGAACTCTGTAAAGAGGCAGGCTAGCCGTTTCCCCCTGCTTTCAAGCTTTATGCTAAGCTAGGCTAACCACGTCCTGACTCCACTCTCATCACAGACATGGGACATGTTCTAATCTCACTCTTGGAAAGATAATAAATGTTTCTCATGAAGTAGAATAATGAAAGTAAAGTAACCCAAAGACCTGGGGGACCATTCTTGAATATTCTAAACAATCTGATGGACAGGCATTTACCATTCTTGTAGCAAACTATTTACATGTCCAGCATTTAAGGAGAAAACAATCATTAGGTAGAGGTCTTTTTGCTTGTGTCCACCTGATGAATCTAAGTCCATTATTTACACTCTTTTAGCTCTGTTTTGGTTTTTCCAGCTCAGTAGCTGCTAACTGCTCTACTATGTTCACCCGCTAGTTTCTAAAGGCCAAGTCATAATTTCAACAAGTAACTGAGTGCATGGACTGTAGCTTTATAGAGTTGTCGGAGTGGTTTCTTATTGCCTTTTCTTTGTCAGCTTGTGGCTGAGAAACAATGAGCCTGAGGCCACGAAGAAGAATACTGCTAGTCTTCCTCGGAGAGAAGAGCTGAACAGACTGAAGAATGAACTTAGTCGCAAGTTGGATCTGTCCGACATCAGGTACACTCAACTCTACTCAGTATGATAGGAAACTGTAGTCCTGAACGATCTAAGGAGCCTTGTTCTTGCAAAATGATTAACCGCTTACCAAGAGAGTAACTGATGATGTCATTCTAATTTGGTTAGAGATTGAGCAGTCAGCAGTGAACCCTGCTCCTCTGCAGAGTATGATTTAAGTGAAGCACGCACCACATATGGTCAATTAGAGGCAGATAATAGAAAATGTATATTATCATGTGTTTGTGTCATTACCACAAAAAAAAATATTGATAGTATTTATCGGTCAATAACAGGAAGCCAAATTGCATCCATTGAGTTAAAGAGGCCCTATTAGGGGTTTTCATTTTCCTGTAGTGTTATATAGGTTTCTGTGCATGTCAATGTTCTGCAAAGTCCCCTCCTAAAACGCTTCCATTCGACTCCTTTGTTTACTTCTGTTTCAAAGTGACCTCACTATGTTATATTTGAGCTTATATTGGCTATCGCTCCAACACATTGTCTTGATAGGCTAAGGGGCGGGGCATATGAGGGTGAAAAGAGGTGCTGCAGCACAGGCAGTATGAGAAAAACAAAGAGCTTTTTGAAAATTAAAGCATGGAAACAGGTCACAGTAGAGACACTAAACAAACACTATTATGAACCTGAAAATAAGCATTACATGTCCTCCTCAGCTGAGAATAATAAACTACAGATTACAAATCTTTTTTAAACCCACAAAATGTGAAATCATCGGTCATCTTATCAGTAACGGCTCCACACAATCCATATTGTGCATCCCTATTCAAAATGATTAGTGAAGGTTTTTATGGGGACTGGGCATGAAACTGTACGTTACCATGACAATGACATGAGTTGTGTGGTGCAGGTGGCAGCGCAGCTGGGGGGTGGCCCACAGGTGCTCTCAGCTTCAGAGTCTGAGCCGGCTGTCCCAGCAGGACCCCGGGGCCCTTAGGAACCTGCGAGGTAAACATAGGCCCTGCTCTGATCTCTCCATTAAACCACCCACTCATTCATGGCTGCATTTCTGTCAGTGGGGTCTCCCTGTTTCTTAACCTGTCCTTTTTCGAGTGTCTTAGAGTTTTTGACGGCAGACTTTCCTGCTGTTCTATTACTCATAAAAAGTCCAAAAAAACTGCACATGAACAATTCTCTGCATTTATTCTGTGTACATTTATTTCTGACCTTTTTCGCTGGCAGACATTTATGCATTTATATTATTTATTTTATTAAGAAGGTAAATGCTCCGTTTTGTTGTCCAGATGTCTTATTACATATATCACCTATGATACATTATTACAACTTAGGAGTGCTGCACTTCACTTTAATCTGTCATCAAACAGGTTAAAGGAGAAGACGGAAATATGTGGTAAGAGCTGCTATGCTGAGCGCACATCTCCAGTTTTGTGTTAGCTTCCAATAAAGCTATGGAAGGTTTACGTAAAATAAAATCCACCACATGCTTTTTATTGACACCCAAACCCTCACGGCAAACTAGAACAGAAGGTGTTTAACTGCAGTGTTATGCTGAACTTTTTTCACTTGGTTAGCTCTTACCAGTAAAACATGTAGAATTGGTGAACCTCCCTTTAATGGGCTGCTCCCCCACCCCCTCCAGGACACACGGTTATGTTTGCTGACCAGTCGGGGTTGAACGCCTCTGGACACATCATGCTGGGAACCATGGACGTCCATCACCAGTGGACCAAAGTAATGCAGCGCAGTGCTTCTGCTGCCGGTGCTGTGTGCTCCTCTGTGTGCTGACGCTGCTCTGTGTCTCCAGATGTTCCAGCAGCTGCCCAGCTACCACAGCCTGCTGCAGCAGAGCGACTGGCTGAAGGAGAGGATCAGCCTCCTGCTGGGGGGGACTCAGGTGGTCCACAAGGAGAGGCTGGGCCCCATCCAGCCCATCAGCGAGCACTACAGCACACTGAACACTTTCCACAAGAGCCTGATTTCCCGCCGCCTCCGGCTGCACCCCCGCAGCATGCAGGGCCTCAGCATGTTGTTAGAGAAGTAAGCTGTCACATGACCATAGAATGCGGTTTTGTACTTTGACTAGGTAACACATCATGTGTTCTTTGTGTCAATCACAGTGACCGCACTAATCCCAGTCTTCATGAGATGGGGTACTTCATCATCCCTACCACCTGCGACCCCCCCAAGCTGCAGGTGTTCCTGCAGAGCCACGCCCCTGAGGCCAGGCAGCGCACCCAACGCAGAAACCAGTGAGTCAACACGCTTCATTTGAATGGATTCCAGTCACTCGTTGAGAGGAATCATCTGGCATTGTGTTTGAATCTCTGCACTCTGAGCAGCGTCACAGCATGAAACCTTAATGTGCGGTCTATGGGGGGCTATACAGTGGTGCAGTGATGTCTTTTTGTCGGCCGACCGTGGAGTTAGCATCGCAAGTGCTCCCTCAACAAAAAATAAGCTCTTTGGCAAACACACTTGTTAGCAACAGGACAGACGCTTCAGAAAGAGGAGTATTTACTGACGTATTTGATGTCTTAGAGCATAATGTGACAATCTCTCCAGCTTGTGTTTCAAGCTTTTAACCAGAAACACATTAAAAAAAAAAGTTGACTTTGAGACGAGGGGACACAAAATTGCCATTTTGTCAAATCCTGAAAAGTCATTTCAGGATTTCAGGACTCATTCCTGCACCACTTATCGCTGCTGCTCCATATCCTCTGCAGCTCATTCCACATTGCTGTGTTACTGACCCACTCCTCTCTGTGTGCAGGCTGCAGGCGGAGGAGGCGGCTGTGGTGAAGCTCTGTCTCCACAACCTGTCTCTGAGTAGTCTGTCCAAAGAGCCCAGTGTGAGCTCCAGCCAGATGATCATGTGCTGCAACAGGCTAGTGGAGCAGCGCTCTCCCCTCATGCAAGGCCTCCACATCTGTGTCTCTCAGTTCTACTCTGTCATGCAGGACGGGGACCTTTGTGTCCCCTGGGACTGGAAGAGCTGAGACTCGGTCCATGTGTTTGTTACAGCTGTAGAACAATTCAACAGGATCTTTGGTTGGATGTGAGGTGCTGTTCAGTCTCAAGGGAAACCTTTATATGGTTAGTGGTGCAGGCGAATCCAAGTAGAGCTCAGTGGTTCCCCACCTGAGGGTAAGGACCTCTCAATGACACGAAGAAGAAAGATACATTTATGCTGGATAAAATGTCAGTGCTTCATCCATCCGTCCATCTTCTACCGCTTATTGGGGCAGCAGAGGGTCCCAAACTTCATTTTCCCTGGCCACATCAACCAGCTCTGACTAGGAGATTCCTAGGCGCACCCAGGCTGGCGTCGAGACAAAATCCCTCCACCCGGTCCTGGGTTTGCCCCTCGGTCTCCTCCCAGCTGGACGGCCTGGAACAGGTGGCTTCTTTACCAGGTGCCCGAACCACCTCCTTTCTATGTGAAGGAGCAGGGGCTCTACTGTGGAGTCCCTCAGCATGACCGAACTCCTCACCCTATCCCTCAGAGAGACGTCATCCACCCTCCAGAGGAAACCCACCTCAGCTGCTTGTGTCCTCCATCTGGTTTCAGGCATGTCTTCTGTTTTTCAGATGTTCTTAAATGTTTGCTTTTCTTCTTGAATACTGGAGAATTGTAACTCTTCAGGAATGATATGAAAAATCTAAACCATAGTGTTTGCCTAAACTTTAAGGTTTCGGAGGCATTAACTTGTGCAGTTAGACAGTGAGTATTTTTAATTGTTGCGTTGAGTGCACTGAGAAATGATGGTACTTTAAAATAAATAACTACATATTGTATTTTATTAATTATTAGACTTTAACTATATATTGTTATTTTCTGAACGCTCATTAAACCTTTGAACCTTTGATTATATCCACTGTTAATCTACTGTGGACAGAAAAGACTGTAGTATAAGAGTCACACATTTTGTACAGTAAATAAAATTTATTTTCAATGTTCAGACAATACACTGATTCCTCATTTAAATGGAAATAAACAGTCCACAGTGAGCGCTGCAGCTGACGCTCTACTCGTCTCATCAGCCTGCAGCGTCTCCTGCACTTCAAACGGCTCCTGGTGCTGAGGGGAAGTAGCTTTATAAATATCAAGGCTCCTCAGGGGGGTACTGGGTGTGGTGAAGTTTGAGAGGGGGGGGGTCTGGGTTGGCTGTAGAGGCTCATTTGCGCTGAACTTGTGTAAAGGATGAGGGCAGCTGGATGGGCTGGACGGGTTTCTTGCGGGAGTCTGGGGAGACCCTCTGGACCGGCGAGGGCAGCAGCTGGTTCCGTTTGATGATCTGCAGGGCCAGCTGGGTGTTTCCTGAGGGCGCAGCACACACACTTTTAACACACATAATAACCTAAGGAAATACCACTAATGGATAGGGCTGCATAATATATCAAAAAGTCTATTGTTATATCAACATTTAGGGTAGACGTATTGCAAAGACACTTGACCTGATATCAATGATAGCCTATTCCATGTGCCATTCATTCACCCTCTGCATGGTAATATACTTGGCTATCAGATGAAGAAGAAGTTACGCTAGTGGCTGAGGCGGTACATTTACAGTCGATGAGTAGAGCACATGGATTTGAGCTGAAGGGAAAGAGACCAGTGATGGGATGAAGTAGAAGAGGAAGAACTGGTATCTAAATCACACCTGTTTTTTGGAAGCATATTGGATTAAAGAAAAATTACGTTTTATAAACCCACTTTTTATGCAAGTAATGCCGAACACATGTGAAAACCAGCGGAGGTAACATGAGTACCTTCAGCCCCTGAGATGTGCCGCACCAGAGCACAGTGCCGTTTCGCAGTTGGATTGACATAATTACGTTAAAAAAAAAAGACAGGGTGACCAGAGAAAGGGTTTGTCATCATGATACCTGTCCTCACTGTCCAAGATCTTTGTCAAACTTTACAAAGTTATCAGATTTAAAGGATAAGTAAACATCTTTCTGAACATATGTTATTCCAAATGAAGAAACTAAATGTTTCGTTGATTTCAGTGTGTGGCATACCGTTCTGCAGCTCTAAGTACACTGCCAGCAGGATGGCTTCAGGAGGAATTTCCTTAGTGTTCACCATAGATGCAGCCTGATGAAGAAGAAAAAAAGAGATTGTAAGGTTTTAACTATAACTTAACACCATTTTTTAGAGAATGTACTATACTTAAGAGACGATACTTGAAGCCATCATATCGGCTGTGAATAGAAGCTTGTGAGGAACGAGGCAGAATAAAGGTGCCTTACAGTGATCAGCTAGTTACTTTGGTTTCTATGGTTACCTGAAATTATTGTTAGTGCTGCTTCATACAGCGGTCATCTCATTGGTTGCGCTTTAAAAAGGGGAGTGGCATTCCATTTTCATATAATTTGAACATTGAGAGCAGCATATTGGGGCAATCTGTAGGAGTCACGCACCACAGAGCTCCCAGGAAGGGACCAAGCAAAAGGTGGTATAACAACTTCGGTGTCATATAATGCCTTTGGGCAGGAAAAAAAGAGGAGAAGCAACTTCCCAGTATGAACACTTGAATAGCCCTTAATCATTAGGTCCTCAAAAGTTGTAAAACTCACTTGGGTGGGAGGCGGGGGGCTTAATGATGGGGAGGCGGGGTTAAGACTGGGAATCTGGGTTTAAGGAAAATGTAGGCATGCTCTTTAAGCCCAGATTTCCAGATGATCTGAGTATTTTTGTATCTACTGTCAGGCTATTTTTGACACTGTATCCACTTCTCTTGATACATCCACAGCTTCATAGAGGAGAAGGACGGCAAAATCAGCACTAGGGATGGGTATCGTTTGAAATTTATCGATTCTGATTCTGCTTATCGATTCCGGTTCTTATCGATTCCCCGTTTCGATTCCAAAATTGTAAAAGAAAGAGGTGAAACGTTTAGATAACAAAAATATCTTTATTCTTTTAAGCTTTAACTGACATTTTTACAAATAAAAAAATAAACATGCAATACAAATGTATTGCACAATAGCTGTGCTTTATTTTAACTGCAGAGCTATGCCTATGGCAAGCTATTAACAGGCATTACACTATGCCTTGTCTTTTTCTTTTTTAGTGTAGTGGAGCATCACTTTAGAGCGTTTACCGCGATCCATCTTTGGTGTTATGAAGTGACTGAGCTCGTGAACTGTCTATGGGAGGGCGGGGGGAGCCTCGCTGCGGGGCAACTGTGGACCTCTGTCGCCTGTCAGCGCAACTTACATGATGCTGTTTAAAAAAATTAAGGGCGGCCATTCTGTGACTCTCCAGATGGCCAGCCCGCCCTTACCCTATATTCCACCGGGTCACCGCGGCACAGACGGACCTGGTGGAATACAGGTTCTACCGTGTTTAGGAACCGTTAAGCAGAACCGAAATTGTGTATTTTGTATGGGTACCCGGCATTTTCTTATCGGTTCTCATCTGGAACCGAGTTACGGTTCCCAACCCAAATCAGCACAGAGCCATTTTACCACTGATTCAGTGAAGGCAGCTAAGGCAGATTGCTACACACTCTAAACTTTCTGCATCATGTCTGTGTTGACATTTGACTGGTTTTGAAAACCATATCCATCTGGGTGAGCGGTCTCTGCTGCAGCAGTAACAACATGCCCTCACACAAAGCTCCAGAACTAGCCTCAGAGGCACTGCTATGTTAGGCATGTGTATCTACGTGTGCTGCCCTGTTCTGGGATTGTGTTGCTTTGTGCTAACCTAATTACTGTTAATGGTTTGTTTTACTGTTAATGGTTTGCACTGTGAAAGAAACCCCGACTGCTGCCTTACACAACAAGCTTACATTGCTGCACCTAATGAGTATATGCAAGTCATGTAGCTGTCGTCATGGTTACCTGATGCAGGCACTTGCGGGCCTTCTCGTACTCGCTCCTCAAACAGTAGGCGCTGCCCAGGTTGAAGAGCATCATGGCCCGGGCTGACGTCACACTGCTGGGGTAACACAGGGGGGTCTGCTTCCCTGCTGCACACACACACGCTTAGTATTCTGATGTCATTTGAAAAGGAATCATTCTTAGTGTTGTACATATCATTTTTGTTCAATCATAGATGAATTTCTGAATGTTTGCTCACAGGACTCCACAGGCTCTTCTCCTTTGTCTGAACCTGTTGACGAAAACAAAGCCGAGCATTAATCCCTGAATCAAAGCAGTGTGTTCTGTAGAGGACAGTGGAGCGGCCCCTGACCTTGGTCCTGCTCGCTGCTCAGCACCCCCATCGACACGTCGCTCACGTTCTCTGGGTTGAGGTGTCCGATGGCGTCTGAGATCCTATCCAATGAGATGAGGGCTTCAGCAGCATAGAGGTGACCCAGGAACCTGCACAGAGAGCAGAGGGCCGAGTGACAGGAGCAAACATGGCTGACGACCAGCTGATCCCTTCACTGATGCTGTGACTCACTTGAGCGATCCGGACACCTTGGTTTGATGGAGTAGTTTCTCAGCGTGGTTCAGTGCCATCAGGTTGTCTCCCAGTGCCAACGCCACATAGGCACTGCAGGGCCAGGATGGAGCACCTGCACATCAAGACAGAGGTGAGTGTGCAGCCGGGTCACAGCTGATGTGTCGGCTGAAGTGAGGAGAGCAGTGTTTACCTGAGGTTCTCCACTTCCTGTTTCCTGAGAGGGGACGATGGTGCAGCGGACAGGAACTTATCGGCCTCCGGACCCTTCCCACTGCAACACATCATCACACAACTGTCAAACAGCAGCTCTTCAGTCAAGAGGAAGCCATTATTGACGGTGGATCAGATGGCACAATATGAATATTCTTGTGAACTAAAGAAAAGCTGTCCTGAGCAAATAGTACAACAGAGGCTCAAACATTCCTAGTTCAAACAGCAACTATATAGAGCAGGGGTTTTCAAAGTGTGGGTAGGTGAGCCTCCCCTCAGGGAACATAAGAACAGCCGCGCCCCCCCTCCCAATTATTATTGCTGTTATTATTATTATTATTATTGTTGCTATAATGCAGTGGGTATTCAATTGCATTTAAAGAGGTCCAGTAAGAGAAAATGTAATTAAATGCTCTGTTTTTTCGCTGTCTAACGCTTCCCGCCATTTGAAATTACTCCGACTGTTTTCTCTCTCTCTTGTTCGTCTCTGTGTGTGGTTTGAATCTACGTGCTGACTGCACCGATTTTGATTGGCCTGAGTAGCGTCACCCCTCCTTAAAACATTAAACAATAACTTATTTTAAACCTTTTTATTTTATGTTCTTAAACATAATTGTATAAAACTCCCCCCACTACATTGGAATTATACCTTGCACCCCTCTAGAATAAGCTCCGAATGGTCTCAACCATATTGCATCAGTAAACGTGCACTTTGTTATTATAACAAGAATCGCAGGACACTGGTAGCGATCGGAAAAATTGAGTGTGTTCAGTTTGTGTGTTGTGGAACATGCGTGTCCGTGCATGAAAATAATACCAACACACCCAATTACAATTGCAAGTTCAATTCACTACCTGGAAGTTTAATACAGTTGTTAAAGGTTGGAACAGCCTGTGGACAGCCGTTCTCCTGCAATGTCAGTCGCCGACACTTACAGAGGACAGGCCACATCTAGCTGCAGCACGACCCGTAATATTTCCCGCACGCCGTGTTCTCAAGACATATTTTCTTTTAAACATTTTCAACATTGGTGATAAATCTTATATGCTCCGGTAAAACCACCCTGGAACGTCAAACTTTGCCTTTTAATAATCCAACTACTTAGTGGAACAATGAGTCCCTGGCTCTTTGGAATGCAACAGGAATAAACCGGCCAGATGCATACTCTGCTATGCAGCTTGACCGGGTATTGCTTTTGATCAAAGGTCCAAGCGGAAAAACATGCCACCTCCACAAAGGTGGGGTGAGGTGAA